TTTTTTTGTTGTAGTTACCATTGTTGTTTGGCAGGCCCAGGCAGGGTTCGAACCCGCCAGCCCTGGTGTATGTGGCTGGCGCCCTAGCTGCAGAGCTACAAGCGCTGAGCCGCATTCCCCATTTTTTGCCTTCTTAAAAACAGAAAGTTTGCCCAGATTATGAAGAGAGACCGTCATGTGTTTATTATTGATTTAAGTTTGCCTAGATGTTGTTTTGTTTGTTATTGATTTGTGATTTTCCATAACTGTGTCTTTGCCTTGTTTTTTAATTTTCTACAGTGCTATTCTTGCTGTATAGGAAATGTGATGATTTGAGGCTATAGGTGATTTTTACTTAATTGTCTTGTTCTCTGTTAAGCCTAAAAAACAAAACATGAATGTTAGATGTTCTATTAATCATCCTAAAACTTGGGTGGCGCCTGTGGCTCAAGGAGTAGGGTGCTGGCCCCATATGCTGAGGGTGGCGGGTTCGAACCCAGCACCATCCAAAAAAAAAAAAAAAAACCTAAAAAAAAATCATCCTAAAACTTATAAAGATGTTTCAAAAATGTTTGTTTCTATTTTTTTTTTTTTTGTAGAGACAGTCTCACTTTGTTGCCCTTGGTAGAGTGCTGTGATGTCACAGCTCACAGCAACCTCCAGCTCTTGGGCTTAGGCAATCCTCTTGCCTTAGCCTTGCAAGTAGCTGGGACTATGACTACAGGCACCCGCCACAATGCTCGTCTGTTTTTTGTTGCAGTTTGGCCAGCGCTGGGTTTGAACCTGCCACCCTCGGTATATGGGGCTGGCACCCTACTCACTAAGCCACAGGCACTGCCTCAAAAATGTTTTAAAAGTTTTTTTCTTTTCCACCTTTGGGGTTTTTTCAAATGAAACTATACCCAAATATATGGACAGTATCTTAGAAAATACTTCTAAGTATTTCATCATCAGTCTATCTAGTCAACTGGTACAAACTAACCAAGTATGGCTCAGAAAATAAGTTTTACCTCTTTTTTTTGATGTCCCATTGCTGAAATACCCATTTAGCTGTCTTTACATCTAATGGTAGTCAGGTTATCAGCCATATGCTTAGCCATCTTGAAATGTAAAGTTTATTCTCAGTGCAGTTTATGTATGATTGTAGTCTGATAACAAAGATAGCCTACAATTTGGCTAAAAATCTTAGCACTCGAATGAGAGGCTGAGGCAGGTGGATTGCGTGAGCTCAGGAATTCCAGATCAGCCTAAACAAGAGCAAAACCTGTCTCTACTAAATACAGAAAAAACTAGCTGGGCATGGTTGGAAGGCTGAGGCAAGAGGATTGCTCAAGCCCAAGAAGCAGGGGTCCTCAGACTTTTTAAACAGGGGGCCAGTTCACTGTCCCTTAGACCGTTGGAGGGCTAGACTGCGGGCCCTGGGCCCCGGGTGGGTGGGCTGTTAAGCAGTAAGGGCAGTGGCGGCAAAAACAACTGGCGGGCCGGATAAGTGTTCTTGACAGGCCGCATGTGGCCCATGGGCGGTAGTTGAGGATGCCATGAGCTATGATGCCATGGCACCCTACCCAGGGTGCCAGGGCTACAGAGATGCTGTCTCAACAACAACAAAAAAGGTTTTTAGCCTTCCCGAAGCTCAGATTGTTACACTTAATGTATTAAGTTGAAAGTACAGTTGAGGAAAATGTGCATCTACTTTTTGTTGTTGTTGTTATTTGAGATAGAGTCTCGGATCTGTTGCCCTGTGTAGAGTGCTGTAGAATCATAGCTCACAGCAACCTCAGACTCACAGGCTCAAGCCATCCTGTTGCCTCAGCCTCCTGAGTAGCTGGGACTACAGGCGCTTGCCACAACACCAGGCTAGTTTTTCTGGTTTTGGTAGTGATGGGGGTGTTGCTCTGGATCAGGCTGGTCTTGAACTCTTAAGCTCAAGAAATCCACCCACCTCAGCCTCCCAAAGTGCTAGAATTACAGGTGTGAGCCACCATTCATAGTAGCAACTAAGTTTTAAATCCAGAATTTGGCAGGTATATATATTTTGGTTTAAAAATTTTTAGAGGTAAATATTCTTTAGTAGTCTGTTTATTGGGTCCATATTGAATCTTGGCTATCCAATTCTGTTTTAACTTTTTCTTACGTGTGGGAGTTCTCAGGAATCATTTTATGATAGGATATTTTAAATACTAGTTGTTATGTGCATAACTATTACATTTATTTAACATTAGAGGACTTCAAATACAAATACCATATAATTGTTTCTTGGTGAATCATTCCTCACTGAAATTTAGTATTTGTCTGTTCTTCTCTTTCATGTGGAATATTTTAAATGATTTTTAAATGTATCCTGCACCATCTACTGATTTAGTACCATGTAAACTTTGATTTCAACAAAAAGTTGACATAATAAAGTTTTAAAATAATAACAATCAGCAGTTTAGCATCTGAGCCTATGACTTTTTAGACTCGTGGTTCTCAACCTTCCAAATGCCACAACCATGCAACAAAAATTTTATGATTGGGAGTCACCACAACATGAGGAACTGTATTAAAGGGACACGGCATTAGTAAGGTTGAGAACCACTGCTTTAGAGGAATGTCTGAAAAAACCCTATTTTTCAATGGTCTAATTACTGCTAAACTAACAGCGTAGGTTATGTTTTACTTCCAAATAAAGTGGGAATAATGATAGCAGAAACGTTCATTGAGATGCCACTTTTACTGAGTACTTATTTTTTAGGACCATGCTATTTTGGTGTATGTATTTAGGTAAAGAAAAGAATGAATTACATTTATTTAATGGTGGAAGGAAACTTTTACTTTTATTTTAAATTAATGACATGCAAATTGACATACTTGGTAGTTTTATACAATCTTACAAAAGTGATAGAGTGTATATCTTTCTTAGTTATACTTTTAATTTTGTGTCTAAACATAGTTGTTTTAGAGCTCTTCATTTATTTAACAATAAAGTTAAAGAAAAGTTATTTGGGACCAGTTCCAAAGGAACAAAAGTAGCATCTATGGGAGGTTAGAACTAAAGATTAGGATTTGAATGAGGCCTATAGAGGTTGTGGATTAAAATTACCAACTACAATATATAATGCCATCACCTTTTCAGTTTAGTATTTAAAACAATTTAATCACTTTAGGAAGTGTTTTGTTATTTAAGTTTCTTCAGAAAGTGAAAATAAGATCCTATCAAATTTTTTGTCTTGAAAGGAAAAAATGTTAAATTATTTCTCTGGTGGGCATGTATGAAAAGTGGTAAAGGTTTTTCTGCTAGGTTGTTACTTAAATTTTAGTTTGTGCTGTTCTGGAGTGGCCATTATAACTTCTTTTTTTTTTTTTTTAATAAGCATTTACCTCTTGTGACTGGCAGGGGGACTTATGAAAACACACAAGAGTAATTGTCTTAGAATTTAATTTCTCTGTCAGTGATGGAATGTTCTGAGGGAAAGCTAAAAAGGAGACAAAACAACTTTTTGCCTTCTGTATGAAAACTTAGTAGTATAGAAAAAAAACGACATATATGTGTAACCTTCAAATGTAATTTAGTTAGTACAATGAAGGCATTTAAAAATTATCCATGATTCTGTCACCCTGGTATAACCAGTCTTTGTGTTTAAGCCAAATTCCAAACTCATAAATTTATTAGTTTTAAAAAATAAAGAAATTA